TGAATTGATTTCCTCCTAAATTAAATGGCCCGAAATAATTCTTGCTACAATTTTATTGGCTGCAAATGGAGGACGGAGAGAATCAAGCATTTGGAATGACATCATCAAAGTGTAGATGTTCTGAAAAGGCAGACACCTGCCAGCTATACTAAAAATATTTTCAGCAAACTATGAACAGTTGAATATAATTCCTCCTAAATTAAATGGCCCCAAATAATTCATGTCACAATTTTGTTGGTTGCAAATGGAGGGTGGAGAGAGTTAATATAATGTTTATTTACCCTAGTGTTATGCATCATGTTTTGCACATAAAAAATGAGTTGCTTATCATTTAGCGTTTCATCCTCAATCAAATTTGAATAGATTTGTGCTCGTTGCAGGCACTCTGATTTGTTCTTAGGATGCTAGATATTTCAGTTCTTTGGTCCAAGTCCCTAAGCAGCTTCATCATGTGTTCTAGAGATAAGTACTTCAATGTTTAACCATACTCTTTTATCCCTAATTGGTATAATAGTCACAACTAACGATTCCATATCACCTTTCAATTTGCTAAATGTTCACAAATATTGTTCTATACATGCAGCCTTGCCATCTACAGTTCTTCCTGCTCACCAGGTCATCTGAACCTTATATAAAATGAAGCAAATGGCCATGGGTTTGATTCTTATTGTTGAAAGAGAGCACTGCACTGTTTGCCAACAAAGAGAGCACTGAAGAAAGTGAACATATGAAATTAATGGTAAAACTCTCATTCCTATTATTATCCGCTATGATATGAAATTTAGTTTTCTTTTTTGGGTTAAATTTAGTGTTAAAACCACCATACCTATAATCATTTGCAAATATATGAAATTCAGTTTCTCTTTTTGGGTTAGATTTAGTGTTCTAGCAGCAAGAAAACCATGGATTATTCATGGTTGACCCAATTGAAAATCATGTCAGTTTCTGTTGCAATGATTACATGACGCCTCTAAGCTTAGGGTAGCTATCAGCTCTAAATTTAGATTGTTCAACCCGTTCTACAAAGCATATGTAGTGAGGAATACTATTGTATACTTGGTGTTTAAATTGATGTATTATAGACTGTCCCTATTGAACCATCGATCGGATGCTCAAATTTGAATCCTAAATTTTCTTTATTACTCTGAATCACATTATGTGATTTAGTTTCTTTTTATGTCTCGGTGATACACATGTGGATGACAATACAAAGCTAACTTTTTCGCGTGGCAATTTATACCCCCAGAGAGCGTGTTGATAGTCTGCTATCGACATTTCACAGTAGTTCTTTTGATTGTCTTTTTTTCCAATCTCATTATTGTCCATATTCTTATATTTTCTTTTAAACCTCCTGGGAGAAAACCCGGCCCGTATGCATTGCAACAGAGCTGAAGTATTTAAGGTTCAGAGCTGACAGCGTCATAACAGACCTCCAGTACTCTTTCACACACATTCTCATATACAGGTAAATGTATTTTAAAAAATATATACACTTGCAAATAGACTTATAATGCTATCGAGACATGAATTGTTCGTTTCGTTGAAATTTGGCATATGCTGATGCTTATGCTGATCTGTTGTGACAGGAAAACACTATTTGTTTGCTGAAAAGTACTACTGAAGTAGTTCAAGCGATACTGCTGATGCTTCTGCTAATTTATGGGATGTTAAAATGTTATCTACAGAATCATATTACTGAAGTGTAAGTTGTTTCTGTTTGAATGTTGGCTCTCTGTGGCTGAGGTTTTTTTATTGTTGTCATCGGCGTGCCCGCCTGTGCAAGTATGTATCGACTATCAAGACTCTTGCTTTCTAGATACTCTGCCTGGCCCTTGTGATGTGAGTGACTCAGAGCGGTCTATGGTTTTTGTAATTTATATTTAATAAAAGGATAAGCAAAGAGGCAAACAAAAAAAATTCCTCTCTTTTAGTAGGCTGATGGATGATCCATGTAGTTTCCTTCTTGCTCCCTTTTTCCACACATTCTATTTTCTCCTGTCTAATTTTCTTTCTGACAATTTTGCCTCCTGGTAACCCAAGTTAAAACTGTTGCTCTCCCTTCCATCCTCCCCTTTCCCTACTCAAATAAAAGCCATCTATAGGGCCACTGTATTTTGGGGAACGGCACAAGGAAAACCCAGGGGCCAGGGATACGTTCCAATTCATGTGGAGTCCATGGAGGTTTATTTTTTTGGGAGATACAGTAATTTCAACATATTGGATGGTTAGAACCAAATGTCTAGGCTTTTGTGGTAGTGATTTATTTCTACATTGATCTTACATTAACCGATTATCCAGAAAAATATGATACCACCATGTTCCATTTCTTTTCTGCACATCAGCTTTGTTAGATTCTCAGAACATCAACTTTGTTATTTGGATTGTCAGAATATAAACCTCATCGCCTCTATCTTTAGTTGAGTCAGGAACTCCTATGTTTTTATGTACAAATCTCCATCTTTATCAATAGTGTGTTATTCATTCGGTCGTTGCAGGTTTTACTTCATAGTTATAACAAAATGTTTGTAGTGAAGCCTTCTCCAGATGACTAAGTTTCTTATTACTATTTAATTGGTTGAACACACAAACATAAGTTAATCTGTTTTCTTTTCTTTTCAGTGCCGAGATTACTTGAGCTTAGGTGCATGCTGGTTTTATTACGAATCTAAATTAGTACTTCCTTTTTCCTTAAAATATTTGCTAATGTGTTTTACTTTCTTATTATATATCCAGGTGCCCTTAGGGTGTGTTACCCCTTCTGCGGTAATAAATGAGTATGCAGGTAGAATTCATCAAAACACTATGTCTCCACCGCCTCAACATCAGCAAATGGAAAATCCAAATGTGCAGGTCCTCCAGGAACCACTGTCTGCAATAGTTGTATGCTCCAACAACGTTTGCTATTACCCAAAGTACTTCAGAAGCAGGATTGCTCCCTATTACTCAGTAATAAATAGTTTATATATAATCGCTCTGTACAATGTATGAACCCATCTACGGCATGGCCATGTTGACTTTCTCACCCTGATGCTATTACCATTGGAGCACTGGACACTTATCTTTTGCCCATAGATTTGCCTGCTAATTCTAAACGCGCGCACACATGAATAAATCTCACCATGGTCCTTAACCCTCGCGAGCGAGGGCACGCGTTTTCCACTATTATATATAACAGGTCGTGGTGATAAAAAAAGGTGATGACTTGTAATTTAAAAGAACAAATATATAAAACAGGTTGATGCAAGTTCCAAAAGAAGTGATGACTTGTTATTAAAAAGAGCATATATATATATATATATATATAATAACAGGTCGTGGTGACAAAAAAAAAGTGATGACTTGTTATTGAAAAGAACAAATATATAAAACAGGTTGTGGTGAGAATAAAAAAATTATCCGACCTGCCGGATTCGAACCAGCGACCTAAGGATTTATCTGCTTATACTACAGTCCTCCGCTCTACCAACTGAGCTAAGGTCGGTCTTTGTTTTGTCTGCATACAAAACTTTATATATCTGTAGCTCTCTGCGAATGCTGTCACATCATAGACAAGTGTGTGAATGCCATTGGGCTGTGGGTTTCGTTACGGGGTTGTTCTTTGAGACAGAAGCTGAGAGCTTCCGGTTCAGATAGCATGGCATTATGCGTAATAAGGATGCTACTCTATTATTATCTCCGTCTTGAAAAAATGCGCATCCTGGTTTCCAAGAACTAACCAATTTCAGTTTTAACTAAACATGTTAGTTTAGTGTATTAACATTTATGGTATCGTTAGATTGGTCATGCAATATATTTTATATTTTTATAGTAAGTCTATTTAGAAACATAAATATTGATACTATTCATTGACTCTTTGAAAACAAGATGTGCACTTTTTCTGGGACACAAGGAGTTTTTTTTTATGCTATGATCCATGTTACTATGAGTTCCATTTTACTAGTTTTTACTAGTTGTTCCCTTGTCGTCCCAAAAGATCATATTTGCTAAGGCCATTCTCATTGAAGGGTTTCATAGTATTGTTTTTTAGAATGCCACATCAAATGAAATACAATAAAATATGGATGAAATAACCACCCTTAATTTATAGTTCCATTATATTGTTTTATAGACATTTAATTTCATTACTAATCTAGAGTTGAAAACTGAGCCAGAGAATTTCATCTTCGAGAAACTCAATTCTTCTCCCTTCTCAAAAATATTGTCATGTCATTAGAAATGTTTTATGAAAACCTATTAAATACGGATGAAACTCAGAGACACTCTGGTCTAATGGTGCTAACCGCCGGTAAAAGAATGTGAAATACTGAGATAAACAGATCGGAGCTTTTCGTTGGATTGGAAGGCCCAGTCTGGTTAAACCTTCAGCATGCTTTTCTGGGCCGTTGGAACTGTGTCACATTCTGGTCCGACGCAACTCCGGGGGCCCATAAAGTGTACGCATTTTCAGCTTTGCCCGGCCTCGGTTGTTTCCCAATTCCCCCCGCCCGTTTGACGTTTGCAAGTGGTTTTACAGCAAAGCTCGACGGCGTAACATCGAAGCAGGTATCTTTCGTTGTGCTCGCTGCTCGGCGCTCGGCCGCGCACATGACTTGACGGAACATGCTCGCGGATTTCGCATTTCCCATGGCCGGATAGCATTAATTTTCTGACCAAGTCGTATTGTTTATGGCTTTATTGCTATCTTTCTTCCCTTGGTACAACGAACATTCACCATCTGCACGAACAAGGTACAGACTAGCACATGATTTCCCGTCACACATTCACACATTTTGGTCATGTTCAAAGCTGGCATAATCTCTGGGGAACCGAGTAAATTGTGGGCAAAATCGACAAGCATACGAACAGGATATGCGTGAAAATATTTCTTTTTCATTGAACAAATGAAAGAATCCACCATGGCCCACAAAGTATAAATTTTAGCCGCGTGGAACAGTCTCCACAGCACCACCACCGCCTCATCAGTCATCACAATCACAAACGCTAATTACGATCCGCGAAATCTACCCCAAGGTGGCGCACGACGACGTGTCCGGGTCCACGAGCGCCGGGACCAGGTACTTCCTCCCGTGGGCCCCGTTGGCATTGAAGCTGGCCCCGCTGGCCTGGTCCACCAGCAGCGACCCCGCGTAGCCGGGGTAGGCGCCCTTGCCGTACACGCCGGCGCACGCCGTGGCGGCCTCCAGCGGCGCGTCGGCCGAGCCGTCCTGGTAGAACCCGTTGCCGAACGGGTTGGTGACCGTGCCGACGATCATGGACGCCAGCGAGATCACCATGCCGTCGACCCCGACGTCGCCGTTGGGCGGGGTGAGAGGCGCCGACTGCGGGCCGTACACGGGCTGGTGGAACGGCCACGCGCACTGTCCGGGGCACTGCGACGCCGGGTTGCCCACCCAGACGTACGCGAACCGGCCGGAGCGGGAACGCGGGGACGCGCCGTGCGTGCCGCACCGGGACATGCAGAACCCGTCCACGGCCACGTCGGCGGCCGTGAGCACCAGGTTGATGGCGCGGCTCGGGCTCCCCTTGGCGGCGAGCCTGAGGAGGTCCCTCTCCGTGAGCCGCTTGCCGAGGGAGCAGTTCTGGTCGACGACGTGGGAGCCGAGGCGCAGCGCCGGGAACCGCGCCTTGGAGCTGGCGTAGTACTTGCGCGCCGTCTTGAACCACGTGGCCACGGACGGCTCCGGCTGCGCCGCCGCCGGGGCCGCGGACAGCGACGAGACGAAGTCGGTGATCACCGCGCGCTGCGGCGCCGAGAAGTCGCCGTACCAGATGAAATTGACGGCGATGGGGCCCGACAGGAGCGCGCCCTTGTGGTACTTCATGGTGATGGCCGGCTCCTGGACGAGCGCGGTGAGCCTCCTCCCCGCGAGGCAGGCCTGGAACATCAGCGCGAACGCCAGCAGCGTCGCTGCTAAAGATGCAGTGGAACAAGCCATTGGTGGAGGCTCTCCAAGACGAAATTTGTACTTGGGTGGAGGTGGGGTGGTATTCTTGGACGAGTGATTTCGGCTGGTTCTTCTTGTTTGTGGATTTGCGATGAGCGGGGGGCGGGTTTTATAGGCCACGAGCCGGCGAAGTGTGTGAGTGAGACACGGACAGTGGAGTGTGGAGGGCTGGGGCCTGGGACGCTGCGCGCTGCGCGTGACGTATGACGGGAGGGCACTTTCTGGGCCAAAGTAGGCGTCCTTGGTCGGGCTGCCCGAACGGTCACTGACAGCTGGCTTTGCGTGGCCCCTGCCAGCTCCCAGCTGTAGTTGGGTGAGCACTTTACCATTTTACCCCGGCGCTTGTTGCCGCGGAAACCGCTGCTGGCGCGGGCGGAAAGCAGGGGCAAGTTGGGGATTGCGGGGGGGACGGGCAAAGTGGGGACTGCTGGAGTGGGTAAAAGCAGGTTGGCTTCTCGAGGCGCTTGAAATTTTAGGCAGCGGGATACGAACGTTGGGAGGGGGTGGTGGGCGGGGCCCGGTGTGTGGATTCCGAACGTTGGTTCACTGGTTTATGGGCCCGGTTCCCAGTTATTACAAGCTGTGAACAGAGCAGCAGCACTACACAGGTACTCCAACAGTTGGTGCGCACTGTTCACTTTGTCAGTACGATCCACTAATCCGGTCACAGGCCTCGCCGGTAGCATCAGGGTTAGGCCATTCCTCATCCACTTAACTTGCCAGCCAGGCTGGTGCTGGCCTGCATTGCATGCATGGTATTGGAGACTGCAGTGGCTGACAGATTGGCCCACCTACCAGTCATTGCAGTCCCTCTGCGTTACAAAACGAGAGGAGAGGACGAAAGAAAACCAAGAGCCCATGGATGATGGATCATATCCTATTACCAGAACGTGTGATCCTGCCATGTTATTTCCCATCGCACGGCAAAACCTGGGACGGGACCCCGTCGATCCCAAATCTCCATAGCCAAGCCAATGCTAGAACAAAATGGTCCGTCGGATCGTACTGCCATCACAGCCATGATCCCAGCAGGCGAGCACCAACTGCATCGTCTTTGTACCGTACATAACTGACCGTTGATCAAGGATCCCAGCATGCAAGGCCGTGAGCTGACAGATGGTCACTGTGGGGTTAGCGAAACCCGTCACCAATCGGGGAAGACGCACTCGCATGATCGGATCGGATGAGATTAGATGGAGATCTCTGACGAGGCCCATCAGCGTACGACGATTGGCGTAAAGCGAGCGAAGGTCAATGTCCCGCATGTCGTCGGACCACACCCACCAAGAGGACGTACGCGCGCGCCGGCCCCGCCCCCAGCGCTTTCCTGCTCGCCGGGCCGGATGCCCTGACCCCCGGTGTGGACTCGCAGAGATCCGCGTACGGCCGGCCGCCAGCTGGTGGTGAAGCGGCTAGGCGCGTTGCGCTGCGGCCGCCTGCCCGCAGGCGGCCCTACCGCCTTCACGACGCGCTCGTGAACGGCCTCCTCGCTTATTGCTCGCCAGCCGTGGTCCGTGGACACGCGTATGCCCGCCCACACGTACGCGGACGAGACGTCGAGACGAGGCGACGCATGCAGACTTGCAGAGGCTGGCCTGGCCTTATCCGCGCGCGAAGGCTGGCGGGTACCCGGGGGAGGAGGTGGCCGGGCCGGCGACCCGGTGGGGATGGTGACGTTGAAGGGCGGTGAGAGAGAAAAAAAAGGCTGCATGCTTAAATGGGGCGAGCGAGCTAGGTAGGTCGTGCCATTCATGAGGTTTTGATGCGTGCATGGACGTGGAGCTATCACGCCAGTACCGATGCATGCTCTCGTCTTTTCTGGCTGTCCTGCTGCGCCCGTTTCCTGGAACGTTTCGTGAAGGGCTCAACTGCTCAAAGGGCCCGGCCAGCTAGCAGACAGCTCTTGCAAGCCGAAAACGGAATGCGAATGCATGTTCAGTTGGCAAATGCATGGTGCTTCGAAAGCTTCTGCAATGTCTGCATGCAGTTGGATGCAATGCCTGCGCTAGTAGTTCCTTTTGCACGGGAGTTACATGTTCTGGCGCGAGTAACTTCACGCTATCTCTACTGTACGGTGGTTGTTAGCCCAACGGCTAAACCACGCGTTTATGGTGATTAATTGTTTTCGATCCGGGGACAGGACGCAGCTAGTATCATGCCTGTCGCTCGAGTAGATTGCCGTTTGCGGTTGCCTCCACGTCCTGGTAAATCTTCGGGATGGATATATCATTCCTGCCCTAAAACAAAATCTGCAGGAGGCCTCACGGTAAATTCGTACTTCAAGCCAATCGGGGGAAGCCCTGCCCCTGCGGCCCGAAGAAGCACTGCCAGGCCTGCACACGGGAATTTTTATTATTATTTTTAACACTTTTTTAAACTAATTTTAAATTTAACACAGTTTTTTTTAAAACTAATACTTTTGGCCGCCTATTGCCATGGCGCGACGAAACGACTGTGCCGCGCCATGCATAGTGGCGCGACGGGAGGATGGCGACGCGGCGGCGGGAGCTCTTGACGATGATGTGGTAGCGTCGCGCGCCACCGATCTTTGGCAGCAGCGACGCTACCGATTAGTGGAGCGGCAGAGCGGATAAAAGGCCCGCCGCCCACCCCGCGCGCGCCTTGCTTGCCGCATGCGCACCCCCCCCTCCTGCGCGGCCGCCACTCGCCGCCGCTTGCCGCTGCCGCCAATGGCGCCAAGCCGCCGCCGCCGCTCCTATCACGCCATGGTCGTTATAGCCACACGCCACGCCGCCCGCCACCACGTCGCGTCGCGCCGCGCAAGACGCCGCCACGCCTCCCCTCCGCTTCGCGGCTGATGACCTCGCCACCGCCGCGCGCCACCGCCTTCGCTTCACTGCGGCTTGCCATGATGCGCCGCCCATGAGGATTTAGCGCATTGCCATGAGGTACTCCCCTAGTGAGTCTAGTTATACATTAGTTGTTGTAGTTAGCCTTATATAGATGTTAATATTAGATTAGTTAGTATAGTTATAGTTAGAATAGGTATTAATAGTACTATGGACATTACGTACGACGATTTCGACGAATTGATGAAGTTTCTTGAAATGCTTTTGTAGATGAATTGTTGTGTTAGAGTTTTATACGGAGGAAGTGTTAGAAGAGAAAATGGCATGTTTGAGGATATGGAAGAAGAATTGGAATGGTTTGATGAACCTCCTAGCTTCAACGACCTTTGTGTCCGTTTGAATGTAAAGTTTGGCGGTGATTTCACACTGAAGAGGAGGTTTGATACTGGGAAGATTAGGGCACATTATGTCCTCATGCCCTTGTGCGCGACCGCTCACTGGTCCCGCTACACTAGGGTGCTCCAAGGTTCTAATGTGCCCATGGCTGAGGTGGTGGTGGAGAATGGGTACAGGATATAGGGTGTCCAAGACGGCCCGTCCATTGACGGTGTTGGAGGCAATGAACAAGAATTAGGGGTCGAAGGGAAAGCAACTCAGGGTAACATGGATTTGGACGGTCAGTTGACGCGGGAGCAGTTTCATTCAACTGCAGTAGGCTGTATAAGCAATGACTTCGATGTGAACGAGTTCAAACGGGAAGAAGAGGAGCAGGAAGAGGAGGACATGATCGGTGATGTAGTTAGCAGTGATTCAGACGATTCTCATGATGACCAAGGAGGTACATATGCTATGCCAACACCGGTTGATGCCATACCAGTACTGGTTCATACTATGCCATTACCAGTACCAACTGAGGTTTTGAATGGTATCTAGGCTCAGGGTAGACTAGTCACAGATTTGGCAGCAGATGATACCCCCTATGATTCATGGGCTAGAATTAGCGAAGCGCAGCAGTATGTTACACCACCACCTTACACAGCGACTGAGCTTGAGCAACTAAGGTCGATGAACGTACCTTTCAGAGGTGTCCAAACTATAGGGATGTCAGCATGACGGATATGACAGTTTGTGACACCGGTCTCCAGATATGTAGGAAATAATTGTACGACCATGAGAAAGAAACCCTTAGGAAGGGGATGATATTCAATACAATGTCAGAGATGAAGCTCTTCCTTCAGGACTATGTTGTGTATCACCATAGGCCGTATAGCGTCACTCATTCGGACCAGGAGTTGAGGTACCACGTGATATGCAAAAACGGTTGTATGTGGAGGTTAAATGCAAGAAAGAGACAGAGTGATGGCAAGTGGAGGATAAGTAAAGTTGTCGAACCCCACACTTGCCTAACAACCAGGGGGAAGGAAAATCATCAGCAGCTCACTGCACGTTACCTTGTCCGTCGTATATTGGGGCTCATTGATGACAATAACGATATTTTGGTGTCTTCTTTACAACAGTCCATATCTGGATTCATTAAGTATGATGTGAAGTACGGAAAGACTTGGCGTGCTAAGCAAATTGCCCTGGCGATTCGATGGGGTAGTTGGGAGGAAGTGTACAATAGGGTGCCCTGCATCTTATGGGGCAGTTTGGCTGGTACAAAAACCAGCCGGATTTCACTGTGCACTGATGAAATTCACTGTTTACCCTCTCACAGATTCCTCCAAATTCCTCCAAGCGAACAGGGCTTATGTGCAATGCATTACTACAACCCTGGCTTAAAATGGTTTGTGGACACCGGAGGGATGTGTTTTTGGGACCCGATGAGGCATGTCCTCTATCGTGTGTTCTGGTCGTTCGCGCAAACGGAACATGCATTTTAGTTTTGCTGGCCAGTCGTACTCGTTGATGGCACTTTCCTGACAGGAAAATATAGGGGCACCTTGATGATGGTTGCTGCTGTTGATCCTGAGGACCAGATAGTACCCATGGCATTTGCTTTGGCAGATGGAGAGAACAATGAATCATGGTCATGGTTCATGCGGCTTCTACGTGTACAAGTGCTAGGCCCATCTCGGACAGTCACCCAGGGCTTCTTATCTGCAGCTGAGCATATAGATGGGTTTCTGCCTCTAGTGCATAGATGGTGTATGAGACACTTTGCTGCAAATTTCTAGCGGC